CAAAAGTAACCACGCTCGGATAGCAGGGTTAATCGATAACTTTCCATCTGTCAAATTTTAACCAAAAGTTAAAATAATTCACCAAATGGTTCAGAGCCTAAATCGTTAGTTTCCACCGGTTGCTAGCACTGAGCAAGAAGACTGGGTTCAATCCTAGGCACATTTTAAGAGTTCTCGCGTAACATAAATGAATTTCTCTCTAAGCTCGCAGCACAGTTCGACAGAAGATGTTCATTTGCAGTCGGATTATTCGCGAAAGAGAAAATGATGAAGAGAATCGATCAACAATGATCGGCCCTTTTCTCGTGTTGCGCGAGAGTTGAAAGGTTTCTTAGGCTCTGAACCATTTGGTGGATTATTTTAACTTTTGGTTAAAATTTGACAGATGGAAAGTTATCGATTAACCCTGCTATCCGAGCGTGGTTACTTCTGACAGACAAGAAGTTAAATTTTGACAACCGTGGGTTGAAAACCGGTCGATCGACAGCACGGGGATTTTCGAACATAGAAAATAACTTTCGAAGTGTCACTTTTAACCACGAGTTAAATTTAACTCACCAAATGGTTCACAGCCTTAATCACCTCTATTCCCGTTTTCGTACGAATCGTTCGTTCGTACGAACGACTCGATTCGAACGAGTTCGAAAACGGCATTCTGGTTTTCGTACGAACCCGTTCGAACGAAAGCTTTTTCGAAAATAAACAGTGTTAGTGGTAGCAGATGCACTTTGACATTTCTTAACAATTCGAAGCATAGACCGCGCACGAAATTGGCATTATTCGGTCAAGTGGACTGTCAAACGATGTCAACAAAACAATAACATTGTTGAAATTTTTTGGTTGAAAATTTGAAAATCTCACTGATTTGAAAAGATAACTTCCTGATGTCTTCTGCGAAGTTGTTAAGCAGAAAGTTGGCCACCTTTTGGGACGATTCAGTTTCCGGTAGGATACAAGTCTGATCCTGTGGATGATCCGGAATATCCGTAAAAGCGGTCAATTCATGAAACTGATCCTAGAACTCCGCGTTTTTAGAAACCACTCATAAAAGTCTTATCAGAATGAATTCGGAGTTGTGACTGGAATATGGACCCTGCGGACCACGAGATGGTTCACCGGAAGATCCGGAACATCAGAAAAGTGGTCAATTCATGAAACTGATCCTAGAGCTCCGTGGATTTTTCAAACCACTTATAGACGTCTTATCAGAATGTGTTCGGAGTTGTGACCTTAATTTGGACTCTGGGGACTACATGATGGTCCACCGGAAGATCCGGAACATCCGTAAAAGTGGTCAATTCATTAAACTGATCCTAGAGCTCTACGGATTTTTCGGAACCACTCATAAACGTCTTGTCGGAATGTATTCGGAGTTGTGTTCAGAAATAAGAATATGGAGACTACAGAATGGTCCACCGGAAGATCCGGAACATCCGTAAAAGTGCTCAATTCAGGAAATTGATCCTTGAGCTCCACGATTTTTTAGAAAGCACTCATAGACATCTTATCACAATAAAATCGGAGTTTTGACCAGAAAGTTTATACTGGGGACCACAGGATGGTCCATTAAAAGATCCGGAAGATCATCAAAAATTCCGTTAAAAGTGTCTAGAAGTTATTAATTACTTAAATACCACCTTGAAATGTGTCTATGAGCAGTTCTAAAAAACCATAGAGTGCTTAGATCAGTTTTCTTGACCTATCCACTTTAATGGATGTTCCGGATATTCCGAAGGACCATCCAATGGACCCTGGGGTCCATTTTTCAGTCACAACTCCGAGTTCATTCTGATGAGTTGTCTATTATTTTCCAGAGGAGCGTTCATGGTCTCCAGGGTCTGTTTTCCAATCATAACTCCGAGTTCATAATTATAAGACGTCTATGAGAGTTTACGAAAAAACGGAGTTCTTGGATCAGTTCCATCGATTGAGCCTTTTTACGGATGTTTCGGATCTTTCGGAGGACCATCCACTGCACAATGGTCCCAAAGCCGTATTTAGGAAGACAAAAATGTTTGCGCCCAAACCGTCAGCTTTAGGTATATAGTGTCTTGGGGAAAGTTTCTTCATATTGTTTGGCCGATCTGAAATTAGGGTGGTCCACAAAATTGGAGATTTGAAAATACATATTTTTTTTTAATTATTTGAGATAGATCAATGCAATTTTCTAAAAGTTGTAGAGCAATCAATTCGAAGCAATTTTGCTCGAGAAACCAAATTTTTATCTCTTAAGGTTCATGAGTTATGATTTTTTAAGAAGAATGGCCCATAAAAAACAGATTTCTTCGAATATCTTTTCATTAGTTCATTTCTCGTAAAAACTTTGTTTTGGTTACATTTAGAACTTATGATTACGCATATTTTTGCTGAAGCAACCAGGCTGCTATCTTTTTTTTATTATTAGAAACTTAATGGAGATTTTCTTCGAAAAAATGGTTCTATTAAAATGACAATGTCTCTAAATGGAGCAAACTGATTTTCAAACTTTTAGTATTTGTGGAAAAACTGTGAGAGCGTTTTTTGTTTAAAGTATTTTATTTTATTTAAAATAAAAATCTTTTTTTTTATCAAAAACTAGCCATAACTTTTTAATAAAGGAGATTCAAATTAGTGACTTCTGCAAAAATATGCGTCATAAAAAGTTCTAAAAGTATTTAGAATAATGTTTTTACGAGAGGTTAGGGTGGCCCCTAGAAATTTCTTTAAATATTGTTTATACGTTAATCACCAATAAAAATATTTAAAGAAAGATTTTCTAGGGGCCACTCCAACCTACTTGTTTAAAATAACCATAAGTCATGAACCATAAGAGATAAAAATTTGATGCCATGAGCAAAGTTGGTTCAAATTGATTATTCTACGACTTTTTAAAAAACTGCATTAGTCTATCTCAAGTAATAAAAAAGGTTGAATTTTCAATTCACCAATTTTAAGGACCACCCTAATTTCAAATCGGCTAAAAAATACGAATAAGCTATACGTAAAAGTGATGGTTTTGGTGCTAATATTTTTGTCTTCATAAATACGGCTGGATGTGAACCATCTCGTGGTCCCAAAGGTCCATTTTCCGTCTAAATTCTAGTCAAAACTCCGAATTAATTGGTATAAGACGTTTATGAAAGATTCAAACAAAAACATGGAGCTCTAGGATCAGTTGCATGAATTGACCACTTTTACGGATGTTCCGGATCTTCCGGTGAACCATTCCATGGTCCCCAGAGTACATTTTCCGAACACAACTCCGAATTTATTGTGATAAGACGTCTATGAGTGGTTTCAAAAAATCCGTGGAGCTCTAGGATCAGTTTCATGAATTGACCACTTTTACGGATGTTCCGGATATTATAATGGATCATTCCGTAGTCCCCAGGGTCAATTTTTTGGTCATGACTCCGAACTCATTCTGATAAGACGTCTATGAGTGGTTTCAAAAAATCCGCGGAGCTCTAGGATCAGTTTCATGAATTGACCACTTTTATGGATATTCCGGATCTTCTGGTGAACAATCCCGTGGTCCCCAGAGTCCATATTCCAGTCACAACTCCGAATTAATTCTGATAAGATATTTATGAGTGATTTCGAAAAAGCCGTGGAGCTCTAGGATCATTTTCATGAATCGGCCACTTTTACGGATATTCCGGATCTTCCACAGGATCAGACTTGTGTCCTACCGGAAACTGAATCGTCCCAAAAGGTGGCCAACTTTCTGCTTAACAACTTCTCAAGAGACATCAGGAAGTTATCTCTTCACATTGCCGTACAATCAGTGTTTGGTCCCAATTAGCTCTAATCCCATATGCTACGTGTATTCGTTAATGCCGGATCGACCGTACTATAGGAATCCAGTGGCATCAGTACTATAGGAATCCGGCAAGAACGAATCCGCACTATAGGAATCTTGACTGTATATGGCTATGGCAATGTTTTGGAGTCATAATTAAATACATAAATATTTGTTATGTAAGCTGTTACAGAGATGAGATCTTTAACTTCACGTAATTTTAAGTAAAATTATTACAATCAAATACCAAAAATTTGGTTGTAGATTTTTTTGTACACTAAGGCCATCCCTAATAAAAAAATACCATACACGAACGATAACCCACATGATTGAACTATTCCACAAATAGTTTGCATGATACCCCGAACACGTTGGAGGTGAACCAGCCTCAGGCTGAAAGCCTCCTTAATAAAGATAAATCAATCAATCAACCCCGAACACGTCGTTAAGCAAATTAACCATAACATTTTTATTAGAGATTACAAAAAATTTCAAAGTTTTAGCAGCCTATGTAGACAAAATAGCCCTAAATATGAATGCAGCCAAGTTACTAACGAAAGAGAAAGTCGATGAAGAGAATCGATCAATGTCTATTTGAAAAGTGGTGCCTCTGCAGAGCAATCATAAGACCCTAAGTCGCAAAAGTAAACAATGGCTTCTTCCGCAAATTTCTCGAGAATGACCTATACCCTTATGAATGCTCAGTAGAGACACGACTACAGGGCGACCAGTGAACCGGAAAATCGGGAAAAAGTCAGGAACTCAAAGTCACCGGAAAGAAACAGGAAAAAAACATCGAAAAAAATTCTCCCTTTATTTAACGTCGGTCTCTGTTCCGCAATCTAGAGCCAATCACCGACGGACATCGGTTGCCATCCATCGACGCAGCTTCAATAGTTTTACAACAACATGATTTGCAAATCCGGGATTTTTTTTTTAAATTATTGATCAAGAAAACCGGAAAAACATACCGGAATTTCAAAATGCGAATTCAGTTGCCACCCTGGATTAGTCAAACCGATTCTATTGTAATAGCTTTATGACGTCTGCCTTGAACAACCGTCGGATTTGTTGCGATCTAGGGAGCTCGGTGATCTAGTGGCTACCGTTTTTGCATAATGAGCAGAAGACCGTGGACTCAATCCCAGCCTCCTTCGCACTATAGTGCCATTTCGCCTAGAAGTGTATGTATAAAACCCATCCCATTGATACTTTGCAGCTAAACCAACAGCAGTCGCTTTCGGAGAGCGAAGTCAAGGAGGACGACAACGACGAAACGGAACGGGACGCCGCCGGCGGAGCGCAAAACTCCAACCTGGCCGAGTGCAAGAAGAAGAAGAAAAAGAAGAAGAAGCGCGCGGGCAAGTATGTGGCCAGTTCGGCTCGCCGCAGCAGCGAGGACAACGCAGACATCGAGGACGACTTTGCCAAAACGGTGAAGGAGGTCGATCGGCTCTTTGCGGGCTACGAAAAGTCGGAAAACAGCGCAGCCGTGGCCAACAGTGCCACCGGTAGCGGAGCGGGTTCGGTTGGGAAATCGCTGCTGACGATACAGCACAAGAACCTGAATCCGCAGTACGAGATGAAGCGCATGTTTGGCAGCAAGGTGGTTACCGATCAGCAGTGAGTTGGGAATCGAAATTTTGCCGGCGTAATTGGGAAAGGGTACTGATTTTGGGTTTGTACTTTTCAGGAACAAAAGACGAAACAACCGTGGTGCACCGCGAACGTTGAAGTCTACCTATTTGGTCAATCCCAAAGACAACTGGCCGCCGGTTGGCAAATCCGGTATCTACATGAATTTGGTACAAGCACCGGAGCAAGCTGCCGGCAGCACTGCTAAGGGTGCACCGGATAAGAATGTGACCTACTTTGCGTTCGAGCATAGTCCGTCGTACCGGCAGATCCAGCAGAAGTTCTTGAATGCCGTCGAGAGTATGGACTCGGACAATATTATCAAGATCATCAATCAGCATCCGTATCACGTGGACTCGCTGATCCAGCTGAGCGAGTTGTGCAAAATGTCCGAAGATCATGCGATGGCTTCGGAACTGATTGAGCACGCGCTGTTCGCGTTGGAGTCGTCATTTCATACGATGTTCAGCTTAACGCAGGGTAACTGCCGGCTTGACTATCGTCGGCAGGAGAATCGAGCTTTCTTTGTGACACTGTTCAAGCACTCGCAGTACCTTGAGTCTCGAGCCTGCTCGCGGACGGCGCTGGAGGTGGCAAAGCTGATTCTTACATTCGATCCGATCAACGATCCATTGGCGATTATTCTGATGATTGACTTTTACGCCATTCGTGCCAAGCAGTACGAGTGGTTGGCTCAACTGTACGACGAATGGGAATCGACGAACAACCTTTCCCAGCTCCCAAACATGGCATACTCGTACGCGCTGGCGTTGTTTCATCTGAAACGTATGGACGCAGCCGATCAGGCAGTGCAGTACGCTCTGATGATGTTCCCGGCTGTACTGCGGCTACTACTGGAAGAGCTGGCCATCCAACCGGATTCCCGTGTCATCGGTCATAGTTATTTCGCAGCGAGCACCTACGATAAGGCCACGGTGGCACTGCAACAACTTACGTCGATGTACGTCTGTCGATCCAAGCTGGTCTGGAGAGATACGGAGATTCTACCCTGGTTGGAACGGAACGTGACCGCGGTCCTGGATCGGGTTGATGCCAAGGATGAAATTGTGGCCGAGTTCACCGCCAAAAGGAATCAGAGGTAAAAAGGTGTGAGTATTTCGTTGTAAGAGGGGTAAAAGATTTGTTTGTTTTTGCTTTGAAAGGTACATGAACCCTCCGAGGGCGATCTTGCGGCACATTGTACTGTCGGACTTCAAAGAAAAGGTTCCGCTGGCCCAGTTCATCAAAAAGGAAACGGAACCGGTGCTGATGTACGATCCGTTGCCTCCACTGGATACAATCAACATCTACAGCAGGTAGAAAATATATGTTACGATGCCTTTAAAAACAAGTGGTTCACATGTTAGGAGAATGAGCTTCCAACTTTCGGTCAATTTTTTAAATTTCTTTCAGACCCTCTATCAGCCCGACCACGCGCAACATGATCAACGCATCTCCATTTTCGATGTTTTTCCAATCGCTGCTTCCGAGCTTCAGCTTACAGCAACCCCAACAGCAGCAGCCTGGTCAGCTGCCACACCGTGCTCGGGAGGCCGGTGAGGGCCCTGCTGGAGCCGCCGCAGTTGTCGCCGCCGCTGCCGCTGCGGGTGCTGGAGCGGCAGCAGGGGCTGGCGAGGGGGCCATCGCTGGCCTCCAGGCGTACACTAATTCGCTCAACTCGATCGTGGATGCCATGCGAGACTTCCTGTCGGACATCCGAGTACTCGAAAGGCCCAACGACGCCGACGTGGACGAGAACGAAAGCAGCGATGGGGACGAGCAGAATGACTATCTTACGTAAGGCGGTGGAAGACATCCGGATATCCCGAGGTACGTGATAATCGTTTTATGTTTAAATTTTTGTTTTATGCTAAATTTTGGTGGTTGCGGAGAAAAGATCAAGGACGCGTTACATGTGATTTCTTAACTTTCATCATCACACGAAGGTAGTCAAGTTCGAGTTTTTTTTTTTACTTAACTAAGTGCGTTTGTATTTTTTGTTTTGCTCATTTATTTTGATATGAAATGTATTTTTGTTCGTGTGTTGTACCACCATATAGATATCTTAAAAGTGAAAGATTAATCATTGTTAAGTTGGAATGCAAGTGTTAGCTTTAGCAATCGTAGGAGGCACTGTGTAGTACTCGGTCGCTTCCAATGGATGACTACAATTGTAAACAGAGCGCTTTAAAAGAAATCAATAATCATCGTTTATAATCAAAACGTTATTGCAAAGCTGATGAACGGAAAGTATATTAATAATGAAAAAAAAAACTGACAAAATACAAGCACGGCTAAATCAGTGCCAACATTTCAAAAGGGTGGAATTGATTTTTGTAAACGATTGCCTTTAGCCGTCTATTTCTCGCGAATAAAAGTTCAGGAATGTTTCCTCTACCAGCAGTACCAAAAACAGTTTCGTCCTAATGAAATGTTGGCACTGAAATTTTTTCTTTCCTCCCACATTTATTGAGCTATATTTACTCACACTGATTGTAATTGCACCGGAAGCATTCAGTTTTCCAAATTTGTACCTACATGTCGATGATATCAAAATCAAGTAAAATGTTTAATCAACAATATCATAGTAAAGATCAGATGTTTTAAAATGTTACAACGGTCCTCTCGGTCTGACAAAAGGTCCTCGCTGGCTTTAATCGCTGGCGGGTGGTTGTCAGGTGAGGTCGTATATTTATCAAAAAATCAATAAATGACTCAACGATGGTACACATATATTTCGTATATTTTACGCTAAGCTACAAATAATAATAACCGAAATCATTCAGACTGCAAACAGCGAGGCAAAGGCATACGAAAATACCCGTATATGAACGCAAAATACATTTTATCGAGCTCCATATTTATTGATATGTACCTATTTGCTGTCAAGAAATTGAAAAAGTTGTAGGTACCTATTTACAGATCACAGATGAAAATCTTAGAATGTGGCAAACAGCATACAGAAGAAAAAAATAAAATGTAATAATCTTTGAAAAAAAAAATGATAATTATCTAAGACGTCAGATTATAAATAAATTTATCGATTCAATATAACTTTCTGATTTGGGGATTGATTTTTTTGTTTTGTAAAGTGATCATATCACAAGTCCGGCAGCTTATGATATGTTAGTGAAAGGCTCTACCCCGTTTGGCATAATATCGTTTGACGTAATGCTTATTTAGCATAACACTATGGAAGAACAGGTCATGTTCAAAAGAAGGGAAAATACCCAGTAGGAAAGCGACTTCACGGAATAACGAAAGGCACGGCGTTTTAGTAATGATAAATTAGACTTTGTGCTACACGAGTGCTACAAACTCGTGTTTTTTCCCTTGATTTGTTTTCCGTCGATCTTGTTTTCCGTGCTGAGCACCAATGCTATCGACGCCAGGGAAGCAGCTCCCACACCTGGACCCTACCTATCGACCCATCAACTCATGAACCGGGGACCAACGGCTTCAGATCTCTCCCGAAGGAAGGCGCGATCAGAGATGTTATGCCTCAGAACATCCCGGCGGCGCCGACTGGGATTGAACCCAGGCCTGTTGGGGTGAGACACCGAACACGGTGACCGGATGATGTAACTTTCGCGCGGCCATCGTCAGTCGGGTGGCTGCTAAAATCCTAAGCTGGCTTAAGTCGATGCTCTGCTTCTTTCCTGCAACCAACACTTCGAAAAAATTTTCACCACGCTTGATTATAGTCTTATTATTATTTATAGATTTATCAAAAAGCGGAACAAATTCAATATATTGTAGATCAACAATTGTAAAGGTACTGTAAACTATTATAAACAAAACGTTGGTCATTCTTTCCTCGCCGATCGAACGCAAATTACCAGCATCATCGAATAGGGAAAACTTTCCCCAACCCAAAGGCTCACCAGCCGATAAATTATGGATTTTTAAATATTAAATACTGAGGAATCCCGGAATAAAAATTTCGATCATCTGAACACCCCTCTTTTCGCGATTAGAGCCATATTTACGGAGATAAATCGATTTAAAGGTTTGGAAGGCCCACCAGCCGATAAATAAAGGATTTTGGAATATTAAATACTGAGGAATCCAGAAATAAAAATTTCAATCATCTGAACACCCCTCTTTTCGCGATTAGAGCTGTTTTTACGGAGATAAATCGATTTAAAGGTTTGGAAGGTCCACCAGCCAATAAATATAGGATTTTGGAATATTAAATACTGAGGAATTCCGAAATAAAAATTTCGATCTTCTGAACACCCCTCTTTTCGCGATTAGAGCAGTATTTACCGAGATAAATCGATTAAAAGGTTTGGAAGGTCCACCAGCCGAATAATATAGGATTTTGAAATATTAAATACTGAGGAATCCCGGAATAAAAATTTCGATCATCTGAACACCCCTCTTTTCACGATTAGAGCAGTATTTACGGAGATAAATCGATTTAAAGGTTTGGACGGTCCACCAGCCGATAAATAAAGGATTTTGGAATATTAAATACTGAGGAATCCCGGAATAAAAATTTCAATCATCTGAACACCCCTCTTTTCGCGATTAGAGCTGTTTTTACGGAGATAAATCGATTTAAAGGTTTGGAAGGTCCACCAGCCGAATAATATAGGATTTTTGAATATTAAATACTGAGGAATCCCGGAATAAAAATTTCGATCATCTGAACACCCCTCTTTTCACGATTAGAGTAGTATTTACGGAGATAAATCGATTTAAAGGTTTGGAAGGCCCACCAGCCGATAAATAAAGGATTTTGGAATATTAAATACTGAGGAATCCAGAAATAAAAATTTCAATCATCTGAACACCCCTCTTTTCGCGATTAGAGCTGTTTTTACGGAGATAAATCGATTTAAAGGTTTGGAAGGTCCACCAGCCGAAAAATAAAGGATGTTGGAATATTAAATACTGAGGAATCCCGAAATAAAAATTTCGATCATCTGAACACCCCTCTTTTCGCGATTAGAGCAGTATTTACGGAGATAAATCGATTTAAAGGTTTGGAAGGTCCACCAGCCGAATAATATAGGATTTTGGAATATTAAATACTGAGGAATCCCGGAATAAAAATTTCCATCATCTGAACACCCCTCTTTTCGCGATTAGAGCAATATTTACGGAGATAAATCGATTTAAAGGTTTGGAAGGTCCACCAGGCAATAAATATAGGTTTTTGGAATATTAAATACTGAGGAATCCCGGAATAAAAATTTTGATCATCTGAACACCCCTCTTTTCGCGATTAGAGCAGTATTTACGGAGATAAATCGATTTAAAGGTTTGGAAGGTCCACCAGCCAATAAATATAGGATTTTGCAATATTAAATACTGAGGAATCCCGGAATAAAAATTTCGATCATCTGAACACCCCTCTTTTCGCGATTAGAGCAGTATTTACGGAGATAAATCGATTTAAAGGTTTGGAAGGTCCACCAGCCAATAAATATAGGATTTGTGAATATTAAATACTGATGAATCCCGGAATAAAAATTTCGATCATCTGAACACCCCTCTTTTCGCGATTAGAGCAATATTTACGGAGATAAATCGATTTAAAGGTTTGGAAGGTCCACCAGCCAATAAATATAGGATTTTGGAATATTAAATACTGAGGAATCCCGGAATAAAAATTTCGATCATCTGAACACCCCTCTTTTCGCGATTAGAGCAGTATTTACGGAGATAAATCGATTTAAAGGTTTGGAAGGTCCACCAGCCGATAAATATAGGATTTGTGAATATTAAATACTGATGAATCCCGGAATAAAAATTTCGATCATCTGAACACCCCTCTTTTCGCGATTAGAGCAATATTTACGGAGATAAATCGATTTAAAGGTTTGGAAGGTCCACCAGCCGAATAATATAGGATTTTGGAATATTAAATACTGAGGAATCCCGGAATAAAAATTTCCATCATCTGAACACCCCTCTTTTCGCGATTAGAGCAGTATTTACGGAGATAAATCGATTTAAAGGTTTGGAAGGTCCACCAGCCAATAAATATAGGATTTTGGAATATTAAATACTGAGGAATCCCGGAATAAAAATTTTGATCATCTGAACACCCCTCTTTTCGCGATTAGAGCAGTATTTACGGAGATAAATCGATTTAAAGGTTTGGAAGGTCCACCAGCCAATAAATATAGGATTTTGCAATATTAAATACTGAGGAATCCCGGAATAAAAATTTCGATCATCTGAACACCCCTCTTTTCGCGATTAGAGCAGTATTTACGGAGATAAATCGATTTAAAGGTTTGGAAGGTCCACCAGCCAATAAATATAGGATTTGTGAATATTAAATACTGATGAATCCCGGAATAAAAATTTCGATCATCTGAACACCCCTCTTTTCGCGATTAGAGCAATATTTACGGAGATAAATCGATTTAAAGGTTTGGAAGGTCCACCAGCCGAATAATATAGGATTTTGGAATATTAAATACTGAGGAATCCCGGAATAAAAATTTCCATCATCTGAACACCCCTCTTTTCGCGATTAGAGCAGTATTTACGGAGATAAATCGATTTAAAGGTTTGGAAGGTCCACCAGCCAATAAATATAGGATTTTGGAATATTAAATACTGAGGAATCCCGGAATAAAAATTTTGATCATCTGAACACCCCTCTTTTCGCGATTAGAGCAGTATTTACGGAGATAAATCGATTTAAAGGTTTGGAAGGTCCACCAGCCAATAAATATAGGATTTTGCAATATTAAATACTGAGGAATCCCGGAATAAAAATTTCCATCATCTGAACACCCCTCTTTTCGCGATTAGAGCAGTATTTACGGAGATAAATCGATTTAAAGGTTTGGAAGGTCCACCAGCCAATAAATATAGGATTTTGCAATATTAAATACTGAGAAATCCCGAAATAAAAATTTCGATCATCTGAACACCCCTCTTTTCGCGATTAGAGCAGTATTTACGGAGATAAATCGATTTAAAGGTTTGGAAGGTCCACCAGCCAATAAATATAGGATTTTGGAATATTAAATACTGAGGAATCCCGGAATAAAAATTTCGATCATCTGAACACCCCTCTTTTCGCGATTAGAGCAGTATTTACGGAGATAAATCGATTTAAAGGTTTGGAAGGTCCACCAGCCGATAAATATAGGATTTGTGAATATTAAATACTGATGAATCCCGGAATAAAAATTTCGATCATCTGAACACCCCTCTTTTCGCGATTAGAGCAATATTTACGGAGATAAATCGATTTAAAGGTTTGGAAGGTCCACCAGCCGAATAATATAGGATTTTGGAATATTTAATACTGAGGAATCCCGGAATAAAAATTTCCATCATCTGAACACCCCTCTTTTCGCGATTAGAGCAGTATTTACGGAGATGAATCGATTTAAAGGTTTGGAAGGTCCACCAGCCAATAAATATAGGATTTTGGAATATTAAATACTGAGGAATCCCGGAATAAAAATTTCGATCATCTGAACACCCCTCTTTTCGCGATTAGAGCAATATTTACGGAGATAAATCGATTTAAAGGTTTGGAAGGTCCACCAGCCGAATAATATAGGATTTTGGAATATTAAATACTGAGGAATCCCGGAATAAAAATTTCCATCATCTGAACACCCCTCTTTTCGCGATTAGAGCAGTATTTACGGAGATAAATCGATTTAAAGGTTTGGAAGGTCCACCAGCCAATAAATATAGGATTTTGGAATATTAAATACTGAGGAATCCCGGAATAAAAATTTTGATCATCTGAACACCCCTCTTTTCGCGATTAGAGCAGTATTTACGGAGATAAATCGATTTAAAGGTTTGGAAGGTCCACCAGCCAATAAATATAGGATTTTGCAATATTAAATACTGAGGAATCCCGGAATAAAAATTTCGATCATCTGAACACCCCTCTTTTCGCGATTAGAGCAGTATTTACGGAGATAAATCGATTTAAAGGTTTGGAAGGTCCACCAGCCAATAAATATAGGATTTGTGAATATTAAATACTGATGAATCCCGGAATAAAAATTTCGATCATCTGAACACCCCTCTTTTCGCGA